AAAAAACAAATAAGGTCATTTAGCAAGAGATAATTCAACAAATATTCATAACTGAGTTGCAGTCCACAATTGAAATCATACAGCTGACAAGACTTCAGTAATTGTAGGATAAATGAAGCTAAAAACATGCTTTTAGTGAGATTCAAAAACCACATAGAAGCAAACTCAAATATCTAAAACTTTTCTTAAGATCACATTGGCAAATAACAATGCTCTCAATGAGTTTAAATATAAAATATTTAGTTCATGAAATCTGTCAGAAACAAATTTATGTTACAACAGCACCACAGTATTTGGAATCTAATTCACACTATAGACTTCATATCAGCATGCACCTTACCTTATTAGAAAGCTAAGGGATAGACCTATAACTTTCATGAAGATTATCTTCGCGTTGAAGCACATTAAGACATGATAAAAAAGGTCATATATTTAATATAACATGCTGCCGGTACACAGAAAACTGCTTGCACCATATATTTGTAAAATTCATAACTCACTAATTCTTAAGATAAAATCATAAAATTTGATATGCAAGCTCTTAACTCATATAAAAATATGTCCATAAAATTTCATAATTTTATCCTGACTAGAACTCGACTTATTCGTGTTTGAATTCGTAGCTGAAATCTGCCATATAAAATCAACTTGCATACTTATATTCAAAAATCTATAACTTGAGTTATACTATTCTAAACGACTTGATTATTGATCCCATAAACTCTTCTTTTACACAAGAAACAGCCTTATAAAGCATAGTTTCCCAGTTTTTTAATAGCATAGCAAAAAATACAAGCAAACAATACATAAGAAACACTCATGCGAGTTGGGACAACTTTAACTTCTTGCATGCTTATAACTACTTAAAAACTGAATATGTATGACACATATATATATCATTCTACTCCTTATCACATCTATATTATGATTCTAAAAAGATTTGAGCACACCAACCTCTTAATGTTCAAGAAAAATGTAAAGTAAGTCGGGTATGCTCGGACTTGCTCGGTCCTCGTATAGCTGCGTCTTCTTGCTTTCTTTGGCTTGATTTATTGAGTTTGCTGGCACTATATGATTCTAGGATGAGAGTAGGATGATGGAGGAGGATTATATAGCTGGGTTTATTGAAAATACTAGCTAGAACTCAAGAACATTCAAGGTTTTCACTCAACTCTCTCTCGACAATGCATAAGTTTGCTCTTGGATTTGAATTTGAAGGAGTAATTGGAGGGGTTTTTACTCGAAATTACTGAGTTTTCTAAGTGGTAAATGGCTACTATTCAGCTGAGGAGATGAGCTTATAAGGACCACTAGGGGCGGATTGCACAATGCTAGCCCAAGGGAACAATTCTCTTCTTTAGGTGCATGGGAGTTTGGGCAATGTTTGGATGGACTTAGCACAAAATTTCAAGGAATGTAAGAGCATCTAAGCTTGAGGATAAGGTCTGGTCATGCACTAAAGACAAGGGAACAAAGTCCATGCATGATGAATATAAAATAATTCCAAGCCCATGCTAGAATACTTAAGGTAAAAATAATGCAAAGACAAAAAAATTCACCAAATTATTGGTTCTCCTAAATTAAGAATCCAATATCCTCAACATTTTTACTAACAGGGTTCGAACATAAGAAGACCAACATAAAAGGATGCCCCAAAATTTATTACAAATTTAAAATCAGGGTTGGGGCAGATTGAAAAAAGAGGATGAAAGAAAAAAAAAATAAAAAAATATTGAGAGAGTGAGAGTTGACCGTGCCGGTGGAACGTCGAGCGACCATCCGATGATGAAAAGCCAGCGGGCGTGAGAGTGAACAATCGACAGAGGCTGAGCGCGCGACGAACATGCTAAGCACACTAAGGTTTGAGGCTTGAGTCTTGAGACTTGAGGTGAAACTGAAAAACTAGGGTTTGCGGCGAGCGGGGTTTGAGAGAGAGGGACGAGTAGCGAGACAACAAAGAAAGTGAAATGAAAATTGTAATTGTAATTTCTAATTTAAGAACAATGAAAACTGAAAGCGTGTTGCGACACTATATTAAAAAATTAATAAATAAATGGACACGATATTATATTCGGTGCGGTTCTATTAAAACCGCACCTTTCGGGTACAAAACCGAACCGCACCGAAACATCTGCGGTTTTGAAAAATCCAAACTGCACCGAAACCGAAACTCTTGAGAAACCGCACCGCACCGAATGCAGCGGTTCGGTTCGGTTTTTCAGTTTCTGCTCGATTTTGCTCACCCCTACGCAGCAGTTAACTTTTGATAGGTAGATAATACGAGTCTACCAACTGCATTTCTTTGCTGTAAAAAATAATCATCATGACTTTTAACTACATTTGTTATACAAAAAAATAATTTTCTAGACACTCGAAAAATGGCTACGAAACAAGGCTTCATTAAATTTTGGATTTTCAGCAAAATAATCGTTGAAAAGACGATTTGCAGCTGCTTCTCGATCGCGAAATATTGTGTTTTGACTAGGAATTGAACCTCCATGGCTTCGACCACCTTGTTTAGTTCTAAGAAATTCTTGTACAGGAACACTATTATTGTAAATTTGTTGTGCTATCAGTTGTTGCTTTGTATAATAACTATCTAGTAGTTGTTCTAGATCATCATCAGATGAACTTGAAGGAGAAATGCATAAGAAGTACCAATGTAATTGGGATTCATATTTTTTTGAAAATGCAAGAGTTAACAAATGAAAAATTTGTGTGGAAATCTCTGTATAAATAGTGATATAGAAATCTACAACATTTAATCTAAGTCGTTTAATCTTGATTTTCATAGATAAGGAAATCCACAACTTTTAATCTTAGCCGTTAAATCTTGATTTTTTATCGTACGGTTGATATGTAAATAAGAAAATCTACAACTTTTAGTCTTAGCCATTAAATATTGAGATTAGAATCGTACGGTTGATATTGTAGATAAGGAAATCCACAACTTTCAATCTTAGTCGTTAAATTTTGATTTTTTATCGTACGGTTGATATGTAGATTAAATTTCTACAACTTTTAATCTTAGTTGTCAAATCTTGAGAAAAGAATCGTACGGTTTATATTGTAGATAAGAAATCCACAACTTTCAATCTTAGCCGTTAATCTTGATTTTTCATCGTAGGGTTGATATTGTAGATAAAAAATCTACAACTTTCAATCAGTCGTAAAATTAGATTTCCTATTACAAATGTCAATCGTACGATTCTTATCAATATAAATGAAATATACTATAAACATGCTACATGGTGAGGCAAATTTTGTACCACCAAAATATAACTTCAGCATTTTCTAATTACGTTTTAAATCCATTTTCTTGGGGTTCCAACTATACTGTGAGTGAAGATCAACAACTATGTCGGTCTTATATGGAAATTTCTCAAGATCCAGAGGTGGGCATATATCAAAGTAGAGATCAATTCTGGCTTCATGTGATGAACGAGTATAATTCTACAAAACCCAATCCAATGTGGTCTGAACGTCCACAAAGATCGATCCAAGATTGATGGGAACTGTCAATACCGCTATTAAACTTTTCAAATCGTGTGCGAAGTAAATTAAAAATGCAAATATTAGTGGAGCTTCTGAATGATGTGGTAAGAATTTGACAAGCATTATTTATTTATATTTATATAAAAAAATATATATATATTTTTTCTAATGCTATTTATTTTCACATTGTAGATGGAGCATGCAAATGTACTTTATTCGCAAAACCGAAAAAATAAAAGTAATCGACCATTCAAGTATGAGCATGGTGGAATATTATGAAAGATTTTACGTGTTCGAGTGCACATCAACTAGGAGAAACACGGTTTTATCTCAACCGCAACCAAATGCACAACCCAAGTCTCCCATTTCACTTAATCAAGAACTATCTAATTTTTCTATTAATTTAAGCGATGAAAACGATAGTGGTGGTTCACCATCACAACAACCATTTGGTACTAAAAAATCAAAATTTAAGAAAAAACATGGAGAAGACATATCTGCAGCTATAAAAACAATGAAAGAGGAAAATAAAAAATTTAAAAATGATAATGAGCTCAACAATAAAAAGGGATCACGACAGTTGGATGATGAGACAAAATTTAAATCCAAAAGCAAAAAAAAAAAAAAAATGAATTAAGAAAATAATTGTTGTGACTACCACATGAACAGATGAAAATAAAATTTTAATGACTTAATAAATAAATATTGAACAGATGAAAATAAAATTTTAATGACTTAATAAATAAATATTATTGCTTATGGTAAACTATACTTTAAATATTGATTATTCAACTCTTATTTAAACAAATGTCATTATATACCACAAAATTAATAATAAAAATATATACAATTATATATTATACATTAAAATAAATAAATAAATTATATATTAATTAAACTGTTTCGACAATTCAACCACTGATTCGACCAGTGAACCATTAAACAAGTAGCTTCACCGATTTGACGACCGGTCCGATTATTAGAACATTGATATAAACTGAAAATTATCTTAGAAAATAATGAAATGTCACATTATAGAGTACAAAGCGCATCATAAAATCCGAAATTAATTTAGCCGAAATTACCTCATCCAAGACTCGTAAAAACAATCACATATATAACACAACAAATTACAAACATGATTTAGTATAGAAATGAATCACGCCCAAGTACTTTCAAAGTACCAATATTCAACAAAAAAAAAAAAAAAAAAAAAAAAAAAAAAAAAAAAAAAAAAAAAAAAAAAAAACACGAAAGTTAAGGTCTACATGCAATTGAAGTAATTATCATAATCTAATTTCTCAAGGAGGTAATAAAATAGTATAACGCCCACTGATTTTTGCCACGTGTTTCCTTGTACGAAGTCGAATAATAGTTAACTGCTTGGACATCCGTACATACACAAGAATACAGGCAAATGGGCCCAGTTAAAGTAAAGACGAGCACATGAATATTAAATAGAGACCAAATATGCCAACACATAAAGGAACTTTCTTCTAACAAGATTACATCCCACCCTCAAGTCTGGTGGACAAATCATGGAGGAACATGTCCATGAACTCCTGCAGATTAAGAAAGACAGAGAAAAAAAAAATAGTAATATCGTCGTGCCATCAAAATATGAAGCGAACGCGGAAAAGAAAAAAGAATAGAGAAAAACGAAACAAGAAATCAACCTGTCCAAGACCATGACTGCATATTGCATTCACAAGACTTTCCTCTGAGCAACAATTGAGTCGTGCCACCAAACCAACCATAGAACGGAAAATTTCACCGGAAGAGTTCTGTTCTTGGAGCCTCTGGACCACTTCTCGGAAATTAATCTGCCGAATGAGGAGATCAAGCAACAATAAAATGCACTTGAATTTTGTCATACGAAATAAAATTCAGATGTCGAAAACAAAGGACGCAATTTATGAATTTAGTTGTGAAATAAAAGAGCATAGCGTTTTTGCTCTAAATATTATCAAGAAAATGATCGGCAGAAGAAACGAAAAAGCAGACTAACACGTAATGAGAATGTGATTACTACATGGAATAATTTGAAGACTGAAACTTATGGTGTCATTTTCAAGAGGTATATATAAATATATAATGCATGAGGTGTTGCTGACGTTTCAAGTTGTGAGACGAAATATACTAGGCGGTACAAAGGTCAAAATAAGAAAACCAGTCACCACCAACCAACCGAAAAAAGAATCAAAATACAATAAGTATCCACTAGATTCAGCCATAAAATTAATACCACATCACATATTGTAAACGCAACTCCAAGATTCATATTTTTAAAATGAAAGAAAAGTCAAGGGGCATATTTTTATTTGCAGTTTGTGTTTCAATTTAGATTGTCTCCGGGGTAGTTTGGTCAACAACCCACAAACAAGTTTTCTACGGACGTCACCGTCATATTTCCCAAAATTTTCCAAATTAGTTAAAAGAAACAAACCTGAGGACCATCATTTGTCCGTGTCACGTCTCTCCTCAAGACTTGAGAAGGATTCATTTGGGGACCAGCCGTAATCCCCCCTAAAGCCTGAGACACAATGGGCATCATCTGCTGCATCATCCTCGACAGGTCAAATCCCCCGCCCTGGGCCCCACCTTCTGAACCCGAAAACATGCTCCCAAGATCCTGGCCATCCATCTGCTGGGCAAGCTGATTCATCGTGTTCCTCATGGCCGGGTTTTGAGTGAACTGTTGCAGCATATTTCTCAACATATCAGGGGAACCAACCCCGGTTTGCTGTGAGACACCGGTCAATAGACCGTCCAGAGAGGAGCTGTTCAGGACCTGAGACATTGTATCTGCTAAATCAATATTGTCAGTCGTATTTTGCCTGGAGGTGGCCAAATTTAGGTTGCTGCTCCTGACGGGGTCAGAAGGTAGTCCTGAGGGTGGAGGGTTGGGATTTTCCCTAGTGGAAAGTGACGCAAGGGACTGCAGGACTTGTTGACCCACGGCTCTGCTGGAAGAGGCACGGTCTATGGTCTTTGCTTGACTTTTACCTCGTTTCTATGAAAACATAATACAGAATCATTACACGGGTGACAACAATAGTTGAGTAGATTTGGAGAACAAATTATTGGGATGCATCGAACCTGAGATACTGTGCAATTTTCATGTGAAAATTTCAATCATAATCATTAGGAAAAGAGCCAGAACCAGAAGATTTTAAAGTGTTAAAAAAATAATTAACTACAAAATAAGGCCGGGAAAACCTTGGATTTCACAACAGAAATCTGAGATAGATCTAACTAATTTATGATTCAAGTCAAATACAAAGAAACAGAGAGAGAGAGAGAGAGAGAGAGAGAGAGAAGACATAATTACGAAAATCTAGAAATATATAAGCCAACATTTTACCTTCGGTTGAAGGCCTCCCAGTCCAAGTCCAAGAGGGACACCTGAAGACCCACCTTGAGTATTATCACCCTGACTGGATCCTGATGATCCTGCAGAGCTTTCAGAATTCCCAGACCTATGAGAACCTCCGTCAGCACTGGTAGATGGATCAGTTTTTTGCTGGAAGTCCATTTTTAGATTAGAACAAACAAGCATTGCAACTTTACAATCAGAAGAAATCATATCTAATATCCAACCTCTTCCAGCTGTTTGTCTGTGACTGCAGTCTGAGTTGTCTCACCAACTGTGCTAATGGACAAGTTCCTCTGTGGATCGCTTGTCTGCCTGTCCCTATCACCAGAAACTGGGTGTTGTTCTTGATTAGCTGAACCTCCTGATTCACCAAGATAAAACAAAAACCCTCAATATAACATACATAACACGGGGCATTCAAATTCATCTTTCAGCAAATCACATACCTGATGGTGCCTGGTTTTCATTCTGCCTGTTGGGAACTATGTTTCTAAGATAAGCATTTAGACCAGATACAACTGAGTTTAAAGGGCTCGGATCAGTAGCCTGTGAACCCCCAGCACCAGGTTGTGGAGCACTGGATACTGAAATTATGGCCGGTCTAATCGGAACAGCTGTTGCAGTCACATTTACTCCCGTGGGAACCTGTGCTTGACCAGGCATTTCTTCTGCATTGGGTGTCCTGGTCCCAACCACGGGAACAATGGGTGCAAGTGCTGCCCCTAAATTAAAAGGTCAAACTTCTTTCAGAAACCGAGATAAAATGGACTTGCATGAAGAATGAGGAAAAAAAAACATGACGTGTATGACTGACTTACCAGTATGAATATGAATATTAACATTCCTAGCTACGCTACCAAATGGAGGACCCAAAGCAACCTGATTCTGTGTGGCACCAGATGAGCCATTGAAGAGAGAGGTAGTTTGCAGGGGGAAGGGCTGCATGTACAGTCCAGAATCATTGTATCTTGTATAAATGGGTTCACCATCAGATAAACAAGATATAGCATAATGAGAGAGAGAGGAGGTAGAGATTAATATATCCAGACCAAGAATCAAGTAACATGCATTAGGCTTCACAAGCATATTTGAGGCAAGAAGGCAAGAATTTGGAAAATTAATAGTTCAACAGTTACCATAAACAAACTTCTATAACTACGAACCTGAACCATAATTGGATTCGGCCCAAATGGAGATATATAGACAGCTGGCCCAGCACTCACAAACGATTCACCCTGCATAACCAACCAAGAAATTGTTGGATGACTTGCCGTACAGGAAATTCGCAGCTGTTGAAGACAAGAAAAGTTACATACAGAACTTCCGACACGGAGATTCAAAATCGTTCTTCCCAACTCCAGAAATAGAGCGCCTAAATGCTGCATAGCAACACCTAATTGTACAGTTTCTGAATGAACTTGGCCCCTAACAGCAGGGTCACTTGAACGTCCCTCTTGGTCTAATCGCCCCGCAGCTTGCTACAAAGTTGCATAAATGGAATCAGAAACTAAAATAAAATTCCCAGAGGTAATGCATAAATATAGAAAGAGATAGATCACAAAGAATATTAAATAAAAACCGAAGTTCCTTAGACTGGTGCTCACAGATAATGCTCGAACAACATGGTTAGAAAGAAGACGTTGTGCATGTCGCATAACACTTGTCAACGCCTCCACAGTTGGAAAACCAAGCAAGTTTGTTGGGTACTGTGGAGTAGGTAGACTGCCACTATCATCTGGCGATTGGTCTTGTTGAGTACCTAATGCGAAAACAATGTAAAACTAGGACGAGATATTCATACAATAAATCAAACTTAAGAAGGAAAATTTGTTACCGGTTTGTGATAATGCCTGTTCCATTTGGTTCATAAACTCGCTCAGCGTACTCAGAGAATCAGGTATTGGCTGATTTCAAGAACAGTGGAAATAGTATGACACCATATAAAAGCAAAAGAAAAATTCTGAAGGATTCTAAGGAAATGCATTTTCCTACCACGTTGGGCGATGGAACAGCCATTGTTGCACCAACAGGGTTTTGTGTAGGATGGGATGCAGATTGATTATTTGAGGCTTGATTCGGATCAGTCTGATATACACCCTGTCTTTCACTGCCAGCATTAGCCTGTAACTGTTCTGTTTCACTTCCTTCAGAATTCTGAACACGAGACATCTAAGGAGACCATAATCTAAAAGATCTAAATAGGAAGTTACAGGATTTGGTACGATAGCCTAACAGAGTAAATGGGATATCAATGGAAACATCAGATCAGAGTTCTTTTCCAGTTTCTTTGATTTGAAAGAATGTACAGTAGCTTGGATTAACATAGCTTAGCATGAATCAAATTTCCCAACAGCTATAGGCAGAACACCGTCGCTTATTTGTACTAAGAAACTAAAAAGACAACTGTCCGTGGCACACAGAACACACTATTCAAGGAAGGCAAAAACACCAGCATCATCAGATGTTCAACAGACTTAATAAGTGAAATGAGTAGATACCTGAACACCTGATGGCGTGCCACCTACTGGGTTGCCAATCCCTATAGAATTCAGTACAGCCCCAATGACCTAAATAGCACAAATCTAATTATTATTATATGATATGATGATGGGAAAAATTAACTTTCATAGTTCCATCATCAAACAAACACAATAAATTTCAAGTAAAACTACACAAACACACCCGACTTAAATCTGGTACAACAGCATCCCCTGAGTCTCCGACATTTAAGGTCCCCAGTACTACACTATGGGAGATTTGCCCAATACGATTCCGTGGTCCACCAGTAGTAGTATCCTGTCCTGTAAACAAAAGACAAAAGTGAAAATACAGAAAAGACAAGTATCCCAGTTACAACTACAATGATATTGCAACTTCTCATACCACCTCCGGCACTATTACTTGAAGCTGCTTCCCCAGTATTGGAACCAGGAGAGGGCTGTGGCTGCCTCTCAACTAAATGCAGGGTGTCACCATGCTCCACATCTGTATCTTGTTAAGGTTGACACCACGAAGATTATAAATGCAAATACTTCCATGCATAAGTATCAAAATAAAATGGAAAAAAAATAATAATCCAAAATGTTTTTTTTTTTTTTTTCCTTTCATCTTTCGTTATATGGAAAGTTATATGTTCAGTACAAAAATAAATCACAGAAATAAAAGCAGCATAACAACAGGCAAACAATGGCAATAGCAAAACAGTAAAAGTTTTCCCCTTTGAAGAATGAGAATGTCCAATCTAATAGCACAAAAGGAAATGCATGGTAATTCTCAACTTTACACTGTCAATGGTGTTTCACTGGACTTCTGTATAGTATAGTGAACACTCCATGAAAAAAGCTTTCATCATCATTCTGAAACACATGTCAAAGAAGTATACCAAGCAAGTAACATACATGAAGGTACAAATATAAGCAAAATTTGCTTCTTGCCTTTGCCGAGATGAGCAAAACACCAACCATATAGTGAAACTCAAATCAAGAAAAATGTTAATAGTCTGTGGAACTTGGAAGTATCTGTAATACTAGTACATGTCTGGTAGGATACTATACTCAGAAAGAAGGTGATCATCTTTCAACACCTTGCCCCTGAAAATTAGACGTTGCTGCCCAACGGGAACACTAACTTCTTGAGCTATTTTCTCCTTAAAAGCTGATACCATAATCTGAAATTGGCAAATCAGGGAATGATTATGCAGTTAGTTTTTTGACTCAGCCAACTCTAACGCAAATTGGATAATGATGATAAGGCAGTTGATGACGCAAAGATAACTTAACTTTTCCTATGCATTAACAACCACACTCCAGAATGCAGTTTCTCAGCAGATGATAAATCAAACATTAACTAAAAAACATAGCTCAATAAGCTCCTTATCTCCATAGCCATGCAGAGATCAATTATTCATGCATTATTCTATGAAATAAACTTCTGCCTTAATCCGATTGCACATTTCCACCGAGGAAGAAATATTAGAAACAAGACTTGGGAGTTGTATGTTGAAGATTGTGATCTTATGTTGGTTACCAAACTATGATAATATTAAATTACGACTTACATTCTTATCAACAAGGAAACTGAAAATCCGTGAATCAAGGGTCTTGATATTTAGTTGAAGTGTTGAGCCACAACTTTCACCAGAGGCATCGCTTGCACCTGAACCCTCAACAGGTGGCTGATTCTCCATTTAACTCCAAAAACAAGGAACCTCTACAACTAAACCACAGTATAATCGGGTATTAACCAGGACGGCCGATAATGTAAGCAACAGGTAAATGAGCAAACACATGAAATTCCAGGATCAATGATATGGATTTAAAGCTAGCATCTTTGTGTCGCATTGTATGCAAGGATTTAAAGCTAGTGATTTCAATCCAAGGTGCTACTTCCAATAGTTTCGAAATACTTAACCTCCTTTGCACACCAAACACGAATACCAAACATCAAACAAGGGGAGATGCACTTCATACTCAAAAGCCCAACGCCAGATAAAGTAAATCTTGGAACCCGTTCAAGAAAAAGGAGAAAACACGATAAGCATTTGAAAATAAACACAATTAAAACGAGCCCACAACTCAGATTCGAACTGAAACTGCCTCTATTCGATTGGCAACACAAAAACAAATAAATACATGAAAATAAATGTAAGTAAAAGCACCATTGATGTCCATATCAATCACCACTTTCAATCAACAAGAAGATGAACCTGTGCCTAGGGTTCCCGATTACAAAATGTTCATAAAAGCAATAGTGGATAAATAGAACATAAAACAGATAAGAATCGTACATTTTGATCGTCGGAGGAAAAAAAACAGACAGTAATAGCGAGCGAAGATAGGTCGGCGCAGAACTTTGATGAGAGACTCGTAGCAGAAGAATTTTTCTGGTTTCGCGTGGGCTAAAATTGTACCAAAATGTTGAATTGCATAGTTCTCGAAGGATCTAGATTTTGTTTTTACTCGTATCGTATATTCTTGTTCTTGTGGAGACGCGTATGGAAAAAAAAATATATAAATATATACTCCCTTCTATTTTTTTAAATGCCATTCTAGCTTTATCAACTATTTGTCAAATAAATGTCGATTTAGATAGTTTGTACATATTTTTTTATTATTGCCCTCATAGCCAATAAATACATTACGTCTTTTCATATTCACTCTTCACTTTTCCTCAAAACATTTATCTCTATCTTCATTAAATAAGATTATTATTGACAAAAAAATATTCTTAATTAGTGTACAACTTCTCAAAACGACATATATTAAAAATAGGAGGTAGTATATAATAAGAATTCACATAATTCACTTTTAGAAAGTCTTTTCGTCAAAAACATTAATTACACACTAAGTATGGTAATTTTAGAATCTATTTTAAATAAAGAAAATATTAATTACATTATTTTAGTTTCCTATTAAAATGGAATTCGGATGGTATTTAAATATTCCGTTAGATATATTCTGTTATAACATATTTGTTAGCAGATTTAATGGTGCATTCAATATTTTATTAGCATATTTATAGTGATTTATTTTATACGTACCAATTTATTTACACTCAGATTATTTTAATTTATCATGATCTACTTTTTATGGTAGACATGTTATATTCACAATTTGGAATTTTATAGTTTTTTTATTTATAAAAATAAAATATAAAATTTCAATATAAACAACTATAACATTCTCAGTATTTCCAATAAAAAAACCTAATAAACAGCGCGTGAAAAAAAATACACAATTTTAATGATACACAATTAGCATACTTGAAAAAAAAATATACAATATGAATAAAAATCACCATTAGTGTTCAATGGTATTAGACATGTTATATTCACAATTTGAAATTTTATAGTTTTTTTTATATAAAAATAAGATATAAAAGTGCAATATAAATAACTACAACATTCTCAGTCTTTCCAATAAAAAACGTAATAAACAGCGCGTGAAAATAATACACAATTTTGATGATACACAATTAGCATTCACGTGAAAAAAAAAATACAATATGAATAAAAACCACCATTTGCGTTCAATGTAATTTTATTTCCATATTATTTGTTGTTAAAACGATTAGTATGCTTATAAGTATCATATCAACCCCAAACAAAAAAATCACCATTGACGAACATACGAGTAAATAGTGAATCCATAGTAAGAGCCAAACAAAAAATAGATCAACCTTTCGGTCTTATCGAGGAAGTTGAACGAGTAAAGAGAGTTATGTTGCAACTTCGAGTGGTTCGCATGTTTGAGAGTAAATTTCGTAATTCTTATCATAACATCATAGAAATTATTTTTCATAATATTGAGGTATAATATTGTTTATTGTTTCTTTTATCTTTTCACTTTCATTTCGTTATTTTTTTTTTTTTTGGAGACTTCTGACAAATACTTCCAGTCATTTCAAAGGGGAGTTGTTAGGATATTGTGAATACAACTATTAATGCTTTCACCATTTGGAGGGATTGTACTGTGTTCCGACTTTCAAAAAAACATGCGTCTTTAGAACATTTATGATTCGGACGAGCGTGACAAGGTAGCAACGTTTACTGATTGAAAAGGAAAATCATGGTTTGTATATATCATCTATTCACCAAGTGAATTTTTTTTCTACATTATCGGTTTGAAAAGGAAAACGAATTTTATATATCTTATCAGTTTTGACAATACAATGTTATAATCATTGTCATTATTTATTATAAAAGATAATAGGGCTGCACAGATTTTGGATAACCGACCAAAACCGACCAAAACCGAATTTTTGGTTTTGACCGAATTCGAAACCGATAAATTGGTTCTATCGGTTTTAATTTTTTTGGTATTTCGGTTTTCGGTTCGGTTTGGTTACAATTCGTCGATTAACCGAATCGAACCGAACCGAAAACCGATATTATATATAAGTTATAAAAGGCCCAGTATAACTCGTAAGTATGTATTATATTAATTGGAATTAAGTATTCACATTTCAGGCCCAAAGATACAATGGAGCAAGCCTAATTTATCTCCATTCAGGCATTCACAGAAAAAAAAATCGTCTAACTCCTCAAACTCGCTCTCAGTCTGTCTCAAGACTCTCAACCTCCACGAAAAAAAAACCCTACCTACCACTCCACTGCATCTTCTCCGTCTGTCCACCGCACGATACACAAATCATCCGCTCCATCTCCGGTCGCTCAGCGTCGGTTCGCTGAAATCAGAAATCCCAAGTCGCCGGAATTTTGAAATCCCAAATTGCCTCGCTAGTCCGTCGTTCTGCTCCCGCGTACTCTCCACCCGGCAGGCCATCGCGATGCTCGTCTTCTCAAATGAGTTCGCCACCCAAATCCCCTCGTAAAGGCTGCAACTCAGGTTCGTAGTTTTTTTTTTCGAGCTTGTTTCCCTTTTCGAAAGCAGTAAATGAAATTTTATTTTTGTGGCTTTTTTGTTTAATGTTTCTGTGAGTAAATTATCTTTGGATTAAAGCAGTTTAACTGGACATTTTTTGTTGCATTATTTATCATGTTTTGAATAAAAACTCTATCTTATGTGTTTTGTTCTTATTGATTGTGGGTGTATCATGTATGTATGAACAGTGTATGTGTTTGTAAAGTTGCTAATTCCAGAGCTTAAGGTTAAAACTTAAAAGGGACGAAAGAAAATGGAACTTTGGGGTTTTAATTAAGGATTAGCCACTGTTTCTATGAATTTTTGGGTTCATACTGGATGAATTTATCATGTTTCTCCTTTTAAAAGATTTTAGGTATTGGGTTTTTCACAAAAAGCATTAGATTTTTTGTTTCTTAAAAATAGAAACAAACTTGCATTTCTTTTCTTCAGAAATTTAGATTTTTTGTTTCTTAAAAATAAAAACAAACTTGCATTTCTTTTCTTCAGAAATGTTTATTTGAACATAGCTTAACATTTTTCTGTAGTTATATTATTTTCAGATTGGTTTATAGTATTTTTAGGTAATTTTTAGTTTGCTCTATGGATAACACAACTGCAGATCTTTTTTTCCTAGTGCCTATGATCTTAGTTGAATGGTTGTGGCTTATTGGTTAATTTTTGTGTCATAATTATGCGTTTTTTAGGTACAAAACGCAAAAAAGGCGGTTCGGGTCCTCCGGGATGTTCGAGGACGTCGAGTTCAAGTACACTACGACGACCTCGTGCATCATCGAATGAGCTACAACAAGAATTGGGCAGTGAAAATGCCACGTTCGATGAGGAACCCGTGGAAACATCTAATGAAGAAGGAGATGAAGAAGGAGAATCGGATGAAAGAGATGATGGAGTTTCGTGAAAAAAGACTAAAAGAAGGGCAGAGGCATGGAAGCACTTTAAGATCGTAAAGGATGAAAATGGCAAGCAAAGGGCACAATGCAAGCATTGTGAAAAAAGTTACGCAGCCCATACAAAACTTAATGGTACGTCTTTTATGAATCACCATATGCGCAAGTGCAAGGGTCATCCTAATAATAAAGGTGATGAGACAATTGCCAAGTTTTTTCAAAATATAAGTGTAGGTACAAAAGAAGGGAGTTCTAATTGGAAATTTGATCAAGAATCTATTAGGAAAGCCATTGCTCGCATGGTAATTGTTGATGAATTGCCTTTTCGATTTGTTGAGAATGAAGGTTTTAGACAACTTATGTGCATTTCATGTCCTCAATTGATTGTGCCATCGAGAATGACTATAGCAAGAGATTGTTTGAACATGTTTGTTGATGAAAAAAATCGTCTCAAATCTTTGATTAAGTCGTTGGGGTTGAGAATGTCTTTGACAACCGATTTGTGGACTTCGAATCAAAATCTTAGTTACTTGTGTTTGACGGGTCACTATATTGATGATGAATGGAAGTTGCATAAGTTGATCCTCAATTTTGTTCCTTGTCCTAAACATAAAGGTGATGAAGTTGGTTATTTGATTGAGAAGTGTCTTCTTGATTGGGGAATTGATAAAGTGTTTGGTATTATCGTTGATAATGCTTGTGCGAATGATGTGACTATAGCCTACTTGAAAAGAAGATTCATAAAGTGGGGCACTTCTATCTTGAATGGAAAATACTTGCATATGCGTTGTGTGGCTCATGTTGTGAATCTTATAGTTAAAGAAGGATTGAAACATACTAATTCTTCCATTGATCGTGTTCGGACGGTTGTTCGCTATGTGAGGTCGTCACCAATGAGATTGAAGATTTTTAAAGAG